GCTTCTGCGTTGGGCTACGGTGGTCTCCACGAGCGGCCAGCAACCTACCCGTCCGTCCCAGCCCAGTCTTGGTCGGGCGACAGCGACAAGAAACATCACCTTCGTGATGTGCGACTTGGATTGCAGCGAACGTGTCGGCGCCGCTTCGTCGTGCCACATGTAGAAGCGCCGACGAATCTTCGTAAGGTAAAACCATTTTTCATCGATATGAACAACATTGAACATATCATTGAATTCACGTTGACCTACGTCTGACAGGTGCATCGAGCAAAACGACATGCGCTGCGTCTTGTGCTCCGGCTTGAGCTTTGGCTTCGACCAACTGGTACGTGGCGTGATCCATTTCTGTCGAATAAAGTTCCATATCGTCCACTTCGACAGTCCCGTAGCCGCCGCCAGGGAACGATGTGTTTGGCGCCTATGCACTGGCGCGGCCTTGATACGCTTCTCGATTTCGTCGGTCGTGTAGATCTTCTTCCGGCCGGACAAATGCTTCCTTGACTTTACGTCAGCACACGCGCCGGTGGACTTGCTGTCGTTGCCGCGCTTCCAGATGCGCCACCCAGTCGACGAGTGGACGCCAAACGCTTTGCATACTGTCTCCATCTTCTCTCGAGACAGTGTGCCGTTGGTGCTGACAGTGAGCAGCTCTTGGTAGAGAGCCGTTCGCTGGTCATTGGACAAATTAGACTTGGAGTTTGTATTGGGAGTAGCCATGGACGTCGTTCACGCAAATGTGATAATAAAATTGAATTAAAAATAGCCCTAGAATCGTCACGGCCCAAGGGACACGCTCCACTAGTTTTTAGGCCAATCCGATAAGTCCATCACCACTTTCTGTCACTGCCTGCACTTATTACCGACCAGAGGTTGTAATTTCCACGTGACATCGAAATCACTGACAAAGACCTGAGTGATTGAACACGAGGTCTACTGTCTCCTAATGCGGGGGAAATCTGTACTAGCATCACGTCAGGAAGTTGGGGGGGGCAAGAGCCCAGTGGCTACTTACTAAAGTAATACTACAAACTCGGCGATCGGCTACTAGAACCATGGTAGTACTTGAAAAACACCGTGGATTGCAGTAGTGTCAAACAATCGGGCGACCCAACTGCCCTGCACAGCAGAACAGTAACGGAGTGGCTGTGCGAGGCTGTTTATTTGAGCTAGCCATGCACAGTCGTCCACATTGCACACTCTAGCCTCCCCATTGCAATCTCGCAGGAACGAATGCAATTGCGTCTCTCCTGCTTGCTCTCCAGTCACGCCTCCGCGGATTCTGCACAGCCATAGTTCCCTGACCTGCCGGACGTGTTTCCAGTTTGTAGCGACGCTCTCAGCGCAATGAACGTGATGATTTAGTTCTTGTTCGTTGGATAAACCAGTGGACGCGACGGTTGCTCCTTTGCTTTGTGCGGGCATGATGTGTCGCGCCACGCATTCTCCCGGCATCAACGTTCGCTGAATCTTTTGCACAAATCACTTGTCGGTTGGGCCCAAGAACAAAGCAAACGTAACCACAATGCCAATTCTATCGCCCGCCAGGTTGGTGCTCTCGAGTCTCCACCCGCACGACTTTCATTTGCATAAGTTAACGCATTCTTCAGTTTATCGTTTGATCTCGATCATGTTGTCAGCAAAGTACTCCACTTCGATGTCGAGCTGGCCTTGGCTAGCCTCTTCGTCTGTGGCCGACTCCATGAGTAGTTCTTCGTATTGCAATCGTTCCACCTCGAACTGTGTTTCCAGGGTTGAAAGCGCCGCCAATTCCTGTTGGTGCAGCACGATGCTGTCAGCTAGCGCCACACACAGTTCGTCCACGCAGTGGCTCGCCATTTCAAGCACTTCGTTGGATGCGTGGAGCTCTCGGTCGTAGCTATCCGAGTCCATCGATGCCGTATCGTCCGAATCGGCATCGCTTCCTTCGCAATCCTTGTCGACAGTACTCAATTTGAGACGTTTGGTGTCCGTGAAATCAGCCGTGGACAGCTTCACCGTCCACGGAGTCACATAGGTGGTCCACAACTCGCGAATGCTAGCCTCGTACAAAGCACATCGCGCGCTGTACATGTTCAAGTCTTCATGAAGCATGGTCAAGTGCTCTGTGTACATGGCAGTTAAGTCGATCGTTGGAGGTTGCAGGACCCTCTACAATCACCATCATCATCGTCACTCTTCGTGAAGTGTACCTCGCTTTCCCGATAACTCTCGAGCTCCGCAGCAGTGTCCGCCAGTCTCTCCTCGAGATCCATCACCAAATGCACTTGGCACTCCAGTTGATCCTCCAACCCAAGCGTCTTCCGGTGCAAGTACTTGTAGTTTACACGCTCGATCCGGAGCTCATACTGCGTTGTCACGAGCTCCTCCGTGAGTTGGAGTACTTTCGCCTCAAGTACTTGGTTCTGAACGCGAAGGATGTCGGTGTCGTTTAGCCTGATAGCATGATGCGAGTGCTGCCTCTGCGACAGCACCGCCTGCGATAGGGGAGCCATCGTGATTTCGTGTGTTAGTTTGGCTCGGTGGGGTGTCGCGCATCCGGATAATCCATGTCAAACCCTAGGCGAACCCTCCGGATACGTCTAGACCCAGATTGCGATCTTGTCATGTTTGCGATCTTGGCGGCCACTTACTGATAGCTAATTCAGCTCGTCGCGCAAAGACGGCAAGCCGACCGACGCAGCGGGATGTATATGGCAAGGGTTTTTGAAGTATCGAGGCTATCTCAAAGGTACCGACGAAGCCAAGCCGCCCGTGAAGCGACGACCTTGAAACATCCAGGTTTGACCTGGAGGATGGACGACATGCTTTGTCCACCAAAGTCAGGACAACGGGACAATCAACGTGAGTCTGTTACTGGGGAAGGGTCGGCCAACATCACTAAACCGGCCTCAGGTAAGGATGCAAATACTGCAATAAATCTGCTCAACGGGTGAGTTGGCAGAGCAAAAAAACCGACTTGGCGATAGAAGACGGAGCCACGAGTTCTCTCAAAGTGGAAAGAAAGCTCCTGGGATGGTTACGCCGTCGCACCCTGCCATTCCAAACCGTCGCCCGGAGCGCCATTCTCCACGACGACATGATTTGGACGAATATGATGTGATGCTGGTCTTGGTCGTACCTGGATTTACGCAATTCGTACTGTATACGACAGAGCACAACCTGATGCTGTTGTCGTCCGTCGTGGCAAACTTGGCGCATGCGATTCCATCCAGCCCGACCAGCGAGACCTTCTCGTGACGTGTGCAGACCTCATCAGCAAGGACTGAAGGAGCACTCCTTATGACACAGCGTCCTTCGACTGCAGCAAAACCGAGTCGTTTCGTTCCACCGACTTGGGTGCCTGGCTCTAAACCCGCCGCTTCTGTGCTATTCAGCCCGCAATTTTCCCGGCTCACAGGCGTTCATGGAGGCATACCTCAGCCTCTACCAAACAGTCGTGGCATTTCACTGCGCAGCAAGCTGTGGCACGAAAACCTCGCCAACCGCACCGACTACAGCTTGTCAATGTCCAAGCAGCGCAATTTTTGACGGTCTGACTAGTATCCTTGTAGTATTCCTAGCAGTGTCCATAGGACAAGGTTGGATGTACTGTATCGGCTCGGTATGCGGATATGTTCTTGTATCAAGAGGGACTTCAATCAAGGGTTGGTTAACAGCCAATAATTGCCCGAGACACCTGCACCAATCACAAGATCGTTTCTTGTGTTGAACAGTTTTCGACTCCATCGAGCGAGAGAGATGGCACCCCCGCCGCGCACGTGAGTTGGTCGGCTGTGTGTGGCATGGAGCGTTGACTGCGCAATAGGAACAAGTACGAGAAGGTAGCTGCCAAGCAGACCAAGAAGGCAGCACCTCCACAGAAGCGACCGTTGCCTTCCGAGTCATCCGACGAGGAAGACGACAACGATGTGGAAGAAGACAGCGACGAGGAAGAGCTGCAAGACGACAACTTTGACGGTGAAGGCGAAGATGACGACGAAGATGATGAGGATGATGAAGAAGATGATGACGAAGACGAACCGACCGCCGGGTTCTCGGACGCCAACCGCAAGTGGCTCAAGCCCAAAGCGGTCCGATGCTTGAGTGCCTGGAGCAAGAAAGCATCTCATTGCAATGCTTGTTTCTGTAGAACGCAGGGTCCGACTCGGACAACGATGACGACGACGATGAAGAAGAAACGGCGTTTGAAAAGAAGGCCAAGAAGGCGGCAGCCAAGGCCCAGCGCGATGACGCAGATGCCGAAGCGGAACTCCAGCTCAACCTGAAGAACCAGGCAACGTTTGCATTGGAGGACGCCGAGGGTGAAGACGCCGGCGACGTGTACCAGCGCATCAAGGATATCATTGAAGTGCTTGCGCAATTCAAGGAGCGCCGCGAACAGCATCGCAGCCGTAGCGAATACATTGACCAGCTCACGACTGACATGGCGTCGTACTTCGGCTACAACCGCGAGCTCATGGTTCTGTTTTTGCAAATGTTTTCGCCGGCTGAGTGCCTCGAGTTCATCGAAGCCAACGAGCAGCCGCGCCCGCTTGTCATCCGCGCCAACACACTCAAGACCCGCCGCCGCGACCTGGCCCAGGCGCTCATCCAGCGCGGAGTCAACTTGGACCCGCTGGCCAAGTGGTCCAAGGTCGGGCTCAAGATTTACGACTCGCCCGTTCCGATCGGGGCCACCCCCGAGTACTTGGCTGGCCACTACATGCTTCAATCTGCGTCGTCATTCGGTCCAGTCTTGGCGCTGGCGCCTGAACCGAACGAGCGCATTCTCGACATGTGCTGTGCCCCAGGTGGGAAAACCACGTACGTGGCGCAGCTCATGCGAAACTCGGGGTCTCTCATCGCGAACGACCTGAAGAAACAACGGCTCAAAGCGACCGTGGCCAACTTGCACCGCCTCGGCGTCAAAAACTGCGCCGTATCCAACTACGACGGCCGCAAGCTTCCTACAGTTTTTCAGGGATTTGACCGCGTCCTGCTCGATGCGCCGTGCACAGGTATGGGTGTGATTGCCCGCGATCCCTCGATCAAAACACAAAAGTCGGAGAAGGACGTCCTGCGCCTTGCCCACTTGCAAAAGGAACTCCTCCTCGCCGCTATTGATGCCGTCGATGCCAAGAGCGCCAGCGGCGGTGTTGTAGTTTACTCGACCTGTTCCGTCATGGTCGAAGAAAACGAAGCAGTTGTCGACTATGCCCTGCGCAAGCGCGCCGTCAAGCTCGTGGACTCTGGCCTCGAGCACGGCAAACCTGGTTTTACGCGGTACCAGCAGCAGCGCTTCCACCCGAGTGTGGCGCTCACGCGCCGATTTTACCCTCACGTGCACAACATGGACGGGTTCTTTGTCGCCAAGTTCAAGAAATACGCCAATGCACTCGCCCACCGCGACCAAGATGACGATGCTGACGACGGTGACGACGGCCTGTCGAAGCGCGCCAAGCGAAAACTCCAGGCCGAGAACCAAAAGGCTTCAGATAACGTCGACGCCAACGTTGACGAAGACATGAGCGATGCATCCGACGAGGATAAAGTTGACAAGGACGATGAGGCCAGCGAAGACGACGATGCCGAAGAAGACAAGGAACAGGACGCGAATGAGGAGGAGGACGAGGACGAGGTCGCCAGCGACGACAAACTAGAAAGCGAAGAAGTGGAGGCGGTCCCGACCCCCAAGGCCGCCAAAGGCAACGCGCGTGCCGCGGCACGACCGGCCACGAAACCGCAAATGACATCCAAGTTTGCCGGCAAAAAGCCCCCACAAGGGGGCAAGCCATTCCATAAAGCCCAGGGCAAGCCGAGCGGCGGCGCGAAAAAGGCCGGCGGCCGACCCGGGTTCACCCCCGGTCGCGCGACCAAACCGTCGGGGGAACCCAAGCCTCCAAAGCAAAAGCGCTTTATGGACAACAAAATGGCACAGGCGCGGATGAAGAAGCGCCAAAAGAAATAGAAACCAGTCATATGACGACGAGTCGACACCGACCTATTATACAATCCGTCGACGGCACATTCTGTCCGTGGTAAGGATACATATATGTATACTTCGAAGTGCAGCGCACAGTCGACTTGACGGGTTTGCCATGGCGCTGCTGCAGTGCCACTCGCCCTCTACCGCATAGTACTCTAGAGCGACAGAAGGAGCGCCAGGACGGGGCAAGCTAGCTGGTGGCGTGCCACAACCGCCGACACCAGCAAGGAGTGCACGCGAGCTCAACGGAACTTCGTTGCCTTAGTGAAACCGAATTCATGCCTCCAGGTTGGCAATGTCATGGTGCGAGGTCAAAATGGAGTTGGTAGCAGGCAGGGGCAGCGCCGACGTCCGTCCAAGGAGCTCCTTGCGCTTGAGAGCGAGCTTCGTTTTGCTCGCAGACTTGATGACGTCTCTGGTGGCCACGGGGGGTTCGGCTGGATCGTCTACAAGTACACCCATGTCGCCACCGACATCACGACCCATCAAACTCGAATTGACTCCGCAGGGCTGAATCGACTGCTGCAAGGGGGTCGACGGTAGCGAAAACAGCAAGCTCTTGTCGTCCAGCACGGCCGCCGCGGCCACATCCGACAGCTATCATCATCGTAACGGCAGCATGAGATCGATCAAGTCGATCCATGATCAGGGGGCTTTCATTCATACGTCTTTGTCCCAACGGGGTGACATCGTCGTATCGTTGGACCGGCGCTTGCTTTGTTTAGCCCGTCGTTTGGCCGTGTTGCCACGGGGGGATGCGTTCGAGAGGCCCGCGGACGACTCCCGGCGGCTAATCTGGCGCTAAAAGGACAACAAGTCAGCTTAGAAAGGACCTGTTGGGTGGCAGGCTCCAAGGGGCCCTTCCCCGTTCCCCCATCGGGGCATTCCAAGCGGCGACGTACGGACAAAGCAAACAAGGCATCGGGGTCGCCACGGCCGTGCTCGTTCTATCCATCGGAAACAAATCGTTAGGGCCACCGCCTTCTCAAGTTCACAATAATCTAAAAACAACCACTTACGTTGTCAATGATAGCCACCATGCGTTCTTCGCAGACGCGAATCAAGTCGGCCATGGATGCTGCCGACAGCGTTTCGAACTGAGCCAGTGTCACCGCGCGGCTTTCCTACTCATCCCGTGCCGATTGCATCAGAGGCAAGAAATGAAGCAGTGCACGGCACTGCCATAGGCGGCAGTACCTTGTCTTGGTAGGGTGGCCACAACTCGGCGGCAGGAATGAGCGCCCGTTTTGGTTTCCGCACGTCCGTGATGCCAACGAGGCGGGCTATGTTGGACACACCGACCATGACTTCATTGAGCGCGTGCAGCTGTGTGGCGTAGGCGCGCTGGACTCGACTCAGCGACGCCTCGGCGTCCCGGGCCAGATCCTCGAGCTGCCGCGGGTCGGTTGCATCTTTCGGCGTGGTTTCCAACCCCTTCATCTGCATCTCGAGCTCGGCGTGGCTGAGCTTGATTTGCTTTAGTCGCGCTTCGTACAGCGCGGCTTGCTCGTCCAGCGATCGGTTGAGCGCATCGCGGTTGTGGAACTTTTCATGGATCGCCGCCATGTTGCTCAACCCAGTTGCGTGCACGATGCGGCGGCACATGGATTGACATTGCTCCAGGGCTGCTTTGGCGACTTGACTTTTGTTGGCCGCCTAGAGACCACAGACAAACCATGTTAAACCTGGCACGGCTTGCGGCCGGTGGACAGCGCAACCTCCCGGCCATGACAAGACATCCACTCGATTCTCAACACAGTCTAGCCGGGAAACGATGGACACGTACATTCGTTTCAGCGGCCGCTTGGACGTGCAAAATCTTGTCGAGTTCGATCGTGTCGTTCGTGTTGAGGTCGAACGCGGTGGTCCTGACTCGATCGATGATCCCTTTGCGGACATGATATAGCGCCTCGATGTTGGCCACGTCTTGGGACATGCGTGCCTTGGTGCTGTTGAGCCGCTCGAGCACTGCGTCGTGGAGCCGCTTGTTGTCATCGACCGCCGCGGCGAGCTGGGGGTACTCGACAGTCGCCAAGTGGTGTTGCTCGAACGTAAGCGCTTCGTTTTCCTTTTGCAAGTCCTACGGATCGCACGCGCGTCTCAGCCGTCAACCCGCCAGGGATACGACCCAAACGTCGATGGGCGCACGAGCAGCGATGGCCGACCCACACAGCGTATACGCACCCGCAACTTCAACGTCAGGACTTTGAGCTCCTTCTTCACATGAGCGAGGTGATGCTTGTCCGATGCGGGAAAGTCGTCGCACGCGCTCAGGAGCTTCGAGTACGTGTTCTCTTGCTTAGCGACGACTTTGAGCTACAAAACCGGGGGCGGTGCGTCGTCCGTGACAAGCGGTGCTGCGCATACCGTAGCATCGACTTGATCCATGCGTTTGATCATTTCATGGAGCGCATCTTCGGCCTCTTGAATGTACTGGAGCGACGACGCTTGTCTAGCCTTGCGGTCGCGGATTTTCTGGCGCAGCTTGTCGAGGCGATTGCACTTGGCGTTGGCATCCCGCTTGAGGAAGTTGTGCACTTGCTGGAGTTTGAATAGAACCTGCTGGTTGCATGACTTTTTCACGTCCGCCTCCGTCTTGGCGTACTCTTGCAAGTGGGCCTACACACCATGGTCAAGTCACACCTCCATGGACGTTGACGGCGACGCACTGGGAGGCCAAACCCTTCACAACACACGCTGTCGTTCAGGGAATCCCTAATCGACATGGCTGTGCCGGCCGACCGCTGCGACAGCATCTTGCCAACGCCGGACTGCAGAGTTGGGTCCGTCAACGAGTTGCTATCGTGTTTGAGCTGTGCCGGGAACGACGACGTCGGTGCGTTTTTGAACCCGATGAACTGCATCTTGCGCCGCATCAGGGTGTGCGCTGGTGAGTTGGGTCCGATGATGTCCTGCAAACCCCACCGTGGACACTCGCAACGGCACGATTTGCCGACAGAGGGGGCGTTCGTACCAGTGTGTTGGGGGCATTCGCGGTCGCAATCGTTGGCAGGCTCGCGTTGGCATGTCCTTTAAGTTTGTACGGGCTAATCAGAGCCGCTTGCGCCTAGTGCCGCAAGGTCGTGACTGGCCTTGGACATGTCCGTTGTGTGCCAAACAGAACACTACCTTGCGCTGCTTGGGAAGAGTCGGCATCGATTGCGACGGCGACAATGTGGCTGCATTTGCAGTGGCACTGCTCAACACGAGGGACGGCGACGATGCCAAGGTGGCAGTCGTTGTGGCGTTGGTGGCGGTGATCGAGGATGCACTGGAAGACGCTGGCATGGCGTGGCTGTCGGGCGAGTCGGGGACACCTGAGCCGTCGTCCTTACTGTTCTCCGGGGAAATGGATGCCGTGAGGCCGCCCGCTGCGCCTGGTTTGGCGTCGCCGTCGTCAATGTCGTGGCCAAGGGCGAGCCATGGAAACTATCACAGCAGAGAACATGTCCATGCAGGCGGAAGAGAAACTGTGGCTTACTTGGACCCAAACCCATCGTTGGTACAGCCAGTGCAAGGACAGATCCAGCGCTTGCTGGGCCACGGCATGAGGCAACTACACGGCGTGGTCGAGCTCGTTGAAAAAACCAATCGAGAGCGGGCGTACTTGGTGGACGAAACGAAATCCGTCCACGTGGAGTTGCTTGGCATTGAAGTGCGGGTGGTTGAACACGGGGAGCTCCGACTGGCTGAACACAGAGTACTCGTACACAAACTTGGTCATCTACGTGGCACTCTCTATCAAGCACGGCCATTCACAACCGCCAGCGATACTGTTTGCAAGAGCGGCAAGAGCTGCTTGGTCGTGGGGCGCGTGGACCGATACCAGTCTTCAATGCTTTTGTTGTACTCGCGAACGAGGTCGAATGTGGTGATCGCTGGCATTTTGGTGGTGTCGAGCTCGTCAGGGGGCTGGTTCAGCGGCGGGGGGGTTGAGCTGCCGTTGACCACCTCACTACGGCCACGTGAGGTCAACAAGAGTCGTCGATGTCGGGACAGCGCGAGCGGGTCGGTGGTACCCCTCGGTAAGTGTCTTCCAGTAGCAAAACAGCTCGGTCTTGTACGTCGCGGTGAAAAACAGTTGAAACATGGGGAGGTTCACAAGGACGTCTTTCAGGGCATGCCATCGTTTGCAACTTGCCAGGTGCCACGGCAATTCCTGACCATCCATTCAATGCCACGTCGTCCGTGATTGCCACCCACCTCAACTCGACGAAACGAGGGCGGGTGGCCCACAAAGAACCGCACGAGCCAATGGTGGTACGACTCCTCCATTCTCGTGGACCCAATGTACCGCCACCAAATCTACGCGATCGCATCACAAACTGGTGCGCCGTCGACGGGCTGATTGTGTGCGTACAAGGTCGCGAAGGGTGTCGTAGCAAAGCGGAAGGAGCACAATGTCTTGAAGGAACAGACACCCGAGAGCTTTCAAGGCCGACAGAAGCGTCGACCATGTCGTATCTGGTAAGGCAGGCACTTTGGGGCGGGCCGGCTTGTAGTCATTTAGAATTGCCGCGAGGTTTGTTCCGTCGTCGTCATCCGCCGGTGTTTGGACTTCGGGGGCGTCCAGGGGGGCAATGCGGGCTTCGTGAGCAGCCATAGCTTGCACCTACGTGTCATTCACAGCGCCGTCATGACAGCCATCGACGGTGAAAACGCCAGTGTTGGGGCTAAAACGTACCAGCGTTCGCAGCTCGTGCAGCAGGAGGCCGTGGCGGGCGACGTAAAGTACACACAATGCCTTCCCCAGCAATCCCCCCAGGCCATCCACTGGTAGGCCCCCCGTTACGTACACGGGAAATACAATGTTTCGGTGGGTCTTCACGCGCTCCAAGTGACGGAGAAATGGTGGGGGGGGGCTTCGAGGTACCGCCGTTTGGGTCGTGGCTGGTAGTTGGACTGAAGGGCTCGGATGATGATTCTGATCGGCCCCTTCGTCGTTGCTGCCGCTGTCGATTCTGCGGTCGTGCGAGTCTGTCGCCCCGTTGCCCCCCTGGACCTCATCCGCAGGGTCGCTGGATTTGTCGGCCATCGGGGCCAAGACAGAAGTGCGCACTTGGCGTGGGGCATCGGAGGCAATGAGCTCATCGCCCCCAAACCCCCCTACACCTCCACTGGCCCCGCTGTTGCTAATTTCGGTGTCAAAGAGTTCGCAATACGCCAAGTGAACGTCCGTATTCGTTTCGTCTTGGTAACGAGGGGAGCCCATCCCATCGTCCTACCATGATGGCGTCAAATGGATTTCTGTGACGGATGTACCGAGTCGTAGGCGTCGTCGGGGGCAGCTACCCCCCCTACTGTGCTTGGGCGCCGAGTGCTCTTCACAAACTCCGCCACAGACGTTTCGGACAGTCGGTGAGATGGTTGCGCGGTCTGTCCGGGCGAGTTGACCTGTTGTTTCGACCGGGCGCTTGCGAACGCGGCCAGTCCTTGCTGGCTGCCTGACTGGGGAGGCTTGGTGGATTGCGGCTACACACGGCACGAACCGTCGTCAACTATAAGAGGGCGATTCAACTTACAACCCAGGCAAACGTCGCATCCAGCGAATGTTCCTGCAAAAACAGCATCGCGTCCGACGTGGCTGCTGTCGTTGGTGTGTGGCCGGCCTCCATGCTTCGTAGAATCACTTCAAACAGCTCCGACATGGTCGCGACGCCGAGCCACTCGTGGAGCACGGAGTGACTATGATTGTCCGCATGCATGGGGAAGTTTCGGAGGTTGAGCTGCCGTACATGTTGTACCCGCGCTTGGCCACCCATTCCAGTGCCACGAGCATCGACTTGAGAAACATGGGGTTCGACGTGCGGCCGACGCTTGCTATGGCCTGTACGTCAAAGTGAGAACGAAATGGGTGGTCGGGACAACGAAGGGTTGTTTGCCTTTTGCTGGAGTTCGAACAACTGCAAAGTCGCCTGGCCCGTCTGTCGCGACAAAAACTTTTGCACGGCTAGCTGCTTCTCGTCGTCCGTGAACGGGTTGATGTAGACGGTTGTCCAGTTGCGGCGCACCGCTTCGACCTGAATGCGCCGCATGATCCCATGAGTACACCGTTGGATGATCGGTGTCTCTCTAGGACAATCCTCGATCGCACGTACCTTGATGCGCTCCATCGTCGACATGTCGACGTCTGCCGCATCTGCTCGATGGGACGCGGCACAGACGCTTGTGGCGGCCAACACTAGCCGGACGTTTGGCGGAAACGCTACCATCCAAGTCAAGACTGTCGTCGAGATGCGGACGGCATCGACGGCTGCAATGGAATGTGCACCACCGGTCGAAGCGACGTACATAGCGGTAGCCACTTGAGAATGCTGTCGCCATCGCTCGTACGCAACCGGTGCACGCCGTCGACGATCAAGATTGTCCGGCCCTTGCGCGACGCGGCTTCGAGGTATCGCGGGAACTGCCAGCTCAAGCGCTCCTCGAACGTCGGGACTTCTTTGGTCAATTCAAAGTACTCGTTCATTTCGGTCAAGATGCGCTCGAGGAGCTTGGACACGAACGCGCCTTGACGCGTGCACCCGACGGCGTGGTAAAAGATAAACTCGGGGAACCCGTTGTTCCAGTTCTGAAACTTCTTCTTGCGGCGGTTGATCCAGTTGGCCTAGGCCGGCCACGGGATGAGAGCAGGGTGCCGTCGACCAAAGTTGCGAGGTGGACGCACCAGGAACGCGCTCTTGCCGCTACCTGGTTCGCCAAACACAATCAGCGGCCCTTTGGGCACGTGCATGCTGTCGACGTCGCAGAACTCGTCCAAGTCCCTGGGAAGCATGCATCGCACCACTCAACCACACGATACACAAGGAATGGACACACCGTAGAAGCGCCGTCTTGTACACGTAGTCGTTGTGGTCGAGGCGACTCTTGATAAAGGCGTGGTGGAATTCCGACTCGAACTCGGAGATCGAAGTGATGTTATCCATGGCCGCCACGGCCGCCTTGTGGCCGCCCTTCTTCATGCGGCCGAGTACGCCCCGTCGACAACCCGACAGCGATGTGTCCTGGCCGTTTCGCAGGAGTAACCGAACGTTGCCAACGTGTGAAACGGCATGCGCGACGATGGGTCGTGTGTGGGTTCTCGCGCGAACGATGCAGCCAGCGGCGGCAGATCGAGCGTCGACCCGATCCATGCCAACCCCGTCCCACGTGCCACTCGACTCGGATTGTCCTCGCTGTGGCGGGTTGGACGCAAGCTTCCGTTCACGCGTTTGACCGATTCGACCGCCGCTTCTCTCCTCCAACATGAACTGGCTTGGCTAGTCTAGGGGTACAGAAGTCGTGGAGGACGGGCGGCGTCGCTGCAACGATTAACGACGACCATCACCACGGCAATGCCGAGCCTTTATGACCAACGACATTCAAGCCAGCTATCCTACGCCGCCGCCCGACACTACGAGTCTCGGAGGGAGACGGACGTCACGATGTCTTGGATGGTCGAGAGTGGGGGGCGGTAGATTGGAGGCAAGAGCTTTCGCTGCAACGCGTTGAACGAGTACCGTTTGCGGCCGACGTTTTTCTTGGCTACGTCCAGGCGCACGCCGTACTCGCGCATGAGATTCGCCAGTCGAAGCGCGCTCTCGTCGTCTTCGGTTGCGTCCGACTTGAAAACAACGGTCGATGGCGGCGACAACACCCACTTGGCCTGTTCCCACGTGACACTCATGGCCGTCCGGTCTTTGCCGCTCTTGCAGCACGTGATGCGCGCGCCGCAGAGTTTTCGAACGACCTGCGCCGCCAAGTGCAGGATGTCAGTGTTCTTGCTCGCGCCGTTTTCGTTGATCACAGCGTCGCGTAGCTGGTCAAAGTCGCGCTGGACATGGAATTCGTGGCTGGTCTTGGCTGCTTCGTGGTAGTACTGATGGAGCGCAATCAAGTTGGTCGTGTTGATTTGTGACTGCGCCGACGCGCCGCCTACACACGACATGAGCACAAATATCGCCCAGACGCGCGAGATTTACTTCCAAGATGCGACGACATGTTGGCCAAGCTCTGCATTTCGTTGATGCCTTGCGTGAACAACACAGACACGATCGGGATCGGCGACGGATCGCCGCCCGCGGCTAGGCCATCTACCGGCACTTCGACGATGTTGCCGTCCAGCACTACGTCGACCTGCCGCTTCGTGGGAGACACCATCGGCACGAGCTGAAAGAGAAAGTGCTTGCAGCCAAGGAGGCCAGCGTGGGCATCGTGCAGCATGTGCAACTCCTTCCCCTGCGAGCTCACCTACGAAACACACCGATCAGATAGTGCCTCGGGTTCAAACACGAACCACAAGGCGCGGGCACCTACCAAACTCTCCCAGCCACACAAAAACCCGACTCGTTGCCACAACGCCAACCGGTCGGCCCACACGAGAGGCCCTTCTTGCATCGCCATCACGACGGCGGCCTGGAATGCCGCCGTGAGGGCAGTCAATGCTTGCGCCACGACCATGGTCTTGCGCAGGTGATACGTTCCCTGGAGCTCCAAAACTCGGGCCCACTGGGCAACCAGCGACGGCTTGTCCCCATTTGTCGACGATTTAAAGGCCGACGGGACGGGGGGTAAGTTTCGCTTGGCGGACGAGTACAGCGAGTTGAGGCGCGACGCCATCGCCCGGGGGGTGGTTTCCGAAGGTGTTGGCTGGGGTGCAGGGGGTAGCGATGGCGACGACAAAAACGAGGCAGGTGCGGCGGCTCCAGAGAGCAGTTCCACCACTGGTTCAAAGACGTCGCAGTCGTTGGAGAGGCCAGCCAGGCCAAACTTTTCCCTGGCGACACTTGACATCGGTGTTTGAAGGGCGATGCAGTCTTTGCTGGCATCCGTAATCGCGTCGTCAAGGCGCACCAAATCCGTGTCGAGGCCCAGTGCGTGCGCCGCCGGGATGCCGCACGACACTGTCGGCAGAGCTCGAGGCGGGTCATCGGCCGTCGACAACATGTGAAGCCAGCTCACGTGCAGGTTGGTCGGGATGTGCTGCACGCTCCACGTCTTCTTGTCGTGGCTTGATTTGAAGCATTTCTTGTTGTCCATCCATTGCGTTGACACCTGCAGCATACACTACGTCACCGACGACAGACGCATTCGGGGTCGCTACCGCCATGAGCTTCTCCAACGTCGACTTGTGGTCGTGTAGGGTCGCAAGTTGCTTATCGACAAACGTCGTCGACGGCAGTGTTGGCAAGAGCGCTAGTGGCGTTGACGGCTGCAGCCATGACGACTTCGCGGCCGCCACCAAGGACGGCAAGGGCACGTTGTCCGTGTGTTGCCGGTACGCGCCGTCAGCGCCACGGACAAGTTTGAATTGAACTTCGACTTCGCCGACGCACTGGCCATCGTCGTCGCAGCGGCAGAGACTGTCGGGATCATCTCGTTGATGGAGTCGTACCCATTCTTGAAAGATAAACGTGCCCGAGGCATCCACGGGGACTTGGACGAGCGGGAGTCGCGCGTACCCAACCGAGATGTGCGACTTTCGACTCGACTTGGCGCTCGTGCCTTTGGCAGGATCGACCAAAACGTGACATTCGAGAAATCTACGGCAGCACATGTGTCAACAGCAACGCCGGAAGGGATACGAGGGCCGAACCCGTCCATGGCTGCGTTCGGCGGACGATGAAACTCGAAAAAGGTGTCGGCGGCAATGCGGCTTCGCAGCTTGACGGCGGGCGTCTCGGGCCGCCACCGCGGCTCCGGGTTGTTGAGGATCGTGTTGGTGCGGCCGATCGTCCACACGCCGTCCATCGTGTTCGGGTCCCGCCACCGGAGCTCGCAGTACGCGTGGATGCTATTCTCGCTGGACGAAGCAGTTGCTCCCGTCGCGCGAAGTTTGGACAGCGCGGACGACTTGACCGACTTGGCGAGGGCAAACATGCTCGACCGAATGTTCGTCGTGACCGAGTCGGCCGACATGAGTGGCAGGGGAGCGCCGGACAAGCTGAGCCCACGAGCACGGTGCACGGCCACTTGCACCTACGCGGACTCGTCATGCCATCGCCGTCCAGGGGCGCCATTTGGGATACCGCGTCGCAGCCCATCGCAAGCCCCGATGCCACGTCATCAAACAAGCATTCAGCAAGGGCGGCGCGGTCTCGCACACGTTGCCAAGCACCGATTTGTTCGGACAAGTCTGCACTCGATTGTGCGAGGATCTGCTGGGGAAGGACTGCACACAACGTCGTTTCCGCAATCGTTTCCTGGAGTGTCTGGGAGAGTTGGTCCAGAGGCCATCGGTACAATGTGCGGTGGGTCGGGAGAAATGGCGCCATTGTGGCTGGTGGCACGGCGCGCGGCCACACGAGCTCGATCGACGTCGTGGTATCGTCCGACGAAGTTGTCGTGGTGTCACCGTCGATTTCGACGTTGCTAGCGCTAGCTTCGTCGCTAGACGGACCTTGTTTCTGGAGGGACAATGGAAGACTCAGTGGCTTTGATTGCGCAGCAGCAGCATCCAAGAGCAGGTGCATCTCGACGGACGGTGTGGTCGCTAACACCACGTTGGCCTGCTTGGTGCGGTCCAGCTGCGTCGACATCAATTCGAACGTCACAGAGTCAGACGGAGACAGGTCCGCGGCAGGTAGCGTCATGCCCACGACAAACGCCGGCGACGACGACGACTTTTGAATCGTTTCGGTTCGGTACGTCACGGTGGACGGGCTGCCGTTGGACAAACGGTCGCGGTGGACTGTCACCTGGCAAAAACTCGACCCATCCCATGGAGCAGAACCTGACGTCGTGTCCTTTCGCATCATGGTCTTTGCCAGCGCATACCCGCGCTGCATCGTTTGTTGCGTGAGGTTCACAATCGTGCTGCCCGCGCTGTCAGGGACGTCCAAGGACAAGTTTGCACACGAGACAAAGAAGGCAAGGTCCCGCGGTGCTGCTGCAGACGACGCATCGCTCGGGCCCGCCGCTCGCTCTTCCATGCCAATCTCGCGCAGGGATGGGCTGTTGTCAACGATGGCTGTGACCATCGTGCAAGGCATTCACACACCCCGAAGTGAAGTTATCAGACCGAGCGGAAAAGAGTCCGGCCCAATGGGAACTCGGCATTCAAGCCTCACCGACACTTGCTTAAGTGACCCAGAAGATTGGCGTGAAAGGAAGGATATTGATGAAATGTTTGTTGATTTCATGACAATCGAATTGGGTGTCATCAATTTTTTTTTCAATATCAACGATACGTTCACTTCAAACCATGTCACTCGAACCACCGATGCAACCATTTTTCTTCAAATATCATGTATTGTTGTCTCCATATGCGCGAATTATTTGAAAGCGCTTTCACCTTCACGTGGGGCGTCGGGACGCTGAACCGACGCGGCTACGATGGCCAGGCCAGACGTGGCGTCGTGGCTAGCCCGTTCGCCACGCGTCGACCACGGCGGCGTCGATGGAGTCCGTGAGGAGGCGCAGTTGAGCTTCATTCGAACAAAGCACGGCGTCCACCCACGGTTGAGCGAGGAACGGACATGCCGTCGTGGTGGACTCCGGCGCAGCGTCGACCCAGACCCCAATTCGTTGCTGTTGGCACCATGACGTTGTTGTGTCGTCGTGAGAGGTTTCGGCAACTACGTGAATCGAGACGTAAACCCCTGCGGCCACTACGTGTTGAAGGAGTTGGAGGCTTCCCCCGACGATCGCGACATGCGAGTGGGGCCGAGATTGCCACATGCGGACGACATTCAACAAGCTCGGACACTCCAGCAACGCTGCTGGCACCAAGACAATGCAGCCGACATCCGGAGCTGGCAACGCTTGGACAGACGCGATTTCTTTCCAAACCAACGTGACTGGTCCCGACAGGATAGATTCAAACATACCCAGAGCGACGATTGCCGTTTGTGGAGCTGCGTGGTCCATCTCCGACACGACATGAATCAACGTGGATGGGCTGCTCGATTCGTGCGATGAAGGGTCAAAGCGCACGCCAAGCCGAGGCCATTCTATTCGAGGGCAAGTTATCATGTTAACATGCCCACGGCAACCTCGACATTGCAGCCCGTGTCGCTGCAATTTGTCTGTGGCTTACCTGAGAGAGCAGTAGGTCGGGCGCGCTGACTTGCCAAGAGCCGAGTGAATCGACGGCTGCAGAGATGTCTTAGCTGATGAAGTCTATTCAGGCTCACAACGACCGGCCAGCCATCCACAAATGCATCGGCCGTGCCTAAAATGCCATCTCTAGCGCCAGCAGCGACCATTGCCGCTGCCAACGTGGCCAGTGTTTGCGGTTGCACCATGGACAAGGACGGGTCAAAGTACGTCATGGCTGCGCACACGGCGAAACCTCCCCAGTCGGAAATCGAGGCGACGACTAAATGGTCGCAGCCCGTGGCCGCCGCAATGACATCGCCGTGCGGGATGTGGCGTTTCGTCAGCGCTGCCACATTTCCTAGCCCTACATGGCGGAAGGGTTCAATGGCTGGTCGTGGGTTGGCTGGCCACACCAAGTTCGTTGCCGCCGTCGCCGATAGCCAAGGTGGGGACACCGCGGTCTTGTGCGAGCTGGAAAAAACAGTCCAATTGCGCCACGTGCTCCGAGATGGCGCGGGCTCGCATGGTGTAGTAGTTGCCTGCACCAGCTTCGCGTCAGGGGTGAAAGGATCGTCAGTGTTGGAGGTAGAACCCACCGTCGGCAGCAGCGCCTGGTCGCTCGATCGCAATCCAATGCTGGATTAATCCCGCCATGTACTCCACATCCTGTGGCACGACAGGACCTCGCGGGTACGTGTGCAAGAACAGTCGCTCTCGCGTCGTCGGGTGCAGAACATTCCAGTGATCGATGCACACTTGGAAGACACTGGCGTTGACGTCATCGGTGAGGATATGGACGTTGCAGCCACGGGCTAGCAAGCTATGGGCCAGTGCAAACGTGCCAGCGATGCCGTCGGTCTCGGTCGGCGGCGTGGCGTGTTGCACGCAGGGAAACCCTGTCAGGATGGCCACATGCGAGTCAGCCGGGAGCTTCAGCAGGCCCGTCGCGGCAGCCCAGAGAGACGCTGCGTCCCGTTGTGCGTCCAGAAGGTGGCGAATGCCACGGCCGCCTAAGTCGTCTTGCACAGCCTTCAATATCGCCTCCATCGCCGCCACCATGATTTGAATCGAATTGACACCATTATCCGGACATGCAACTCAAAGGTCGCATGGGGTGCACACCTCAGCAGCCTGTACTCGCTCAGGCACGATTCGTAGCTCCTCAGCAACGACCTCTCTTCGCCTGCAGCGTCGGCACGCGGCGCTTCATCCCTTGTACAAACTTCAGCGTGGGGCTTCCACGGGCACCACCCACAACCTCGTAAAGAACATGGGATGCTCCCATGAGCAACGGCCAGGGACTTGATGTTGGGTCGAATGGAAAACAGGTTGAACTGGCGCGCGAGCATGGACGTTATCGATCGCTGCCACGAAACACGATGGGGCCTTCCCCACACAGCGCATATTCGCGTTCATGCCAACCTGGTTTCGAAATGGCATGTGATGAGCTGACTTTCCTCGGTTTTTCGAACGCGACTTGACCGACGAAACCCCGTGCATTTCGCTGATGCTTGGCACGCTTTGTGGCAAACCAATGCAGGATTCCAGCGAGGAGGGAAAGAGTCAACATCGAGTTTGAGCTTCCCGGAAAGCCTCCCGAGGCCTTGTGCATGAGCATCACGGACGGGGGGTGGGGTTGCCATAGTTCCAAGACACAGGTGCTGCGCCCAACAGGGTGAACGGTTCGCGCCACGATGGCAAGAGCTCCCAGAGCTACATCAGTCCGTCGTTGAAATAATTTTACAGTGATGCCAGGTGCATGTTGGATGGAGATATTTTGTGTTGTGTTGGGACTTGGCAAGGAGAACCAAGTCGACGGGGGGACGGCATCTAAGGAGGTCCCGCATACGCTCTACACCGGACCATCCTCGGTGTATCGCTGGATGGGCGGGGGGCGGCAGCGTTGGTGAAAACTCACCAACTCCAGCATTGCTCTTCCAGTGGGAGCAAAATATGTTGTGGAAGATTTGCATCGCTTTATTTACATGCTCTAAACGACAAGCACAGGATACATGGGCATAGACTTCAAACAAGATAAGACACACTCAAACGCGCAGATACAGCGCTCTGACTCAAGATTTTCGGCGCTGAAGCTCGGGCATTCCAAATCGTTTCTAGTTCCTAGTTGTCACGGAGGAAGCGTGGAGGATTGGGAACGATTTCTTCGAGGTCGCTGCGGGCAAGGGCCGAATCGATGGCTTCGCGAAGCGCCAGGAGGACGGGGTACAGTCGCTGGATGGCACTGGTTTCTTGTGGCTCTTCTTGGGTGTTCAAAAAT